ACACTAAATTGCACTACACTAAATTGCACTACACTAAATCACACTACACTAAATTGCACTACACTAAATCACACTACACTAAATTGCACTACACTAAATTGCACTACACTAAATTGCACTACACTAAATTGCACTACACTAAATCGCACTACACTAAATCACACTACACTAAATCACATACCACTAAATTGAACACCACTAAATTGCACTTCCTCGTGTGAGCGAGGAACGCAAGCGGTTCACCGACTAGCCAATCAAACACCAGCTACAGCCTGTAAGACAATCAACGTGTCTTCTGGCCAGGCTCGTTAAAGCTGTGGCCTTCCCCACAAGACGGATTCATCAGTTTTAACTTATTGAAAATTATAAATATATTTGGTATATATAAATTAATATTATTATGCATTAAAGTTCTAGGTTAGATTAGGTTAGGTTGGCAAATTTTCAACCCGTCCTCAGACCAAGTCCATTCCATCCAGCGGTCGACCCCACAGACGCATTCATAAATTTTAACATACTGTTCATTCAAAACGGAAATTTTCTCAAGTATAAATTAATATTATAATATATTAGCATATTGTGTATATATAGGCATAGGATAGGTTAGGTGTTTAGGTTCTGTTGGCGATTATTTGTATTTGTAGTACGTGGGTGAAGCATTTATAGCGTTGTGGTTCGAACAAAACTCGTCAGTGAAGCACTTGTTCCGGAAGTGTTCGAACGAAATCAGTTGTGAGTCGTGTGTAAACCGCTTTTCATTCATAAACAGGGGGTTTGGCGGGTGGATGGAATCACTTTTGGATCTTTGTTTGGAGGACGGGCTGCCTCCAAACAAAGACCGAAAAGTGATTCCATGCACCCGTCAAACCCCCTGTTCATGAATGAAAAACGGTTTACACACGACTCACAGCTGATTTCGTTTGAACACTTCCGGAACAAGTGCTTCACTGACGAATTTTGTTCGAACCACAACGCTGTAAATGCTTCACCCACGTACTACAAATACAAATAATCACCAACAGAACCTAAACAACTAACCTAACCTACCCAATGCCTAAATATGCAAATTTTGCTAAAATATAACAATATTAATTTATATTTGAGAAAATTCCTATTTTGAATGAACAGCATGTTAAAATTTATGAATGCGTCTGTGGGGTTGACCGCTGGATGTAATGGACTTGAGTCGAGGACGGGTTGACTGGTATAAACCATTTTCAATCATAAACAGTGCTTAAATTAGGATAGGTTGGATGTTTAGGTTCTGTTGGCAAATATTTGTATTTGTTGCATGAATGTGAAGCACCTATCAGAGATGTGATTCGAACAGAGAACGCCATCGAAGCACTGTTCGAGAAATGTTCGAACATCATCATTTGTGATTAGCGAGTACTTTATTTAATGAATTATCTCTAGACTTATCTCTGAATTATTTTTGTTGCCTGGTGTTACACTTTCTCCATTTCTCATCTATAGATAACCAGGTGAGTTTTTTTAGTTTCAGCTCTTGTTCGCATTAAGCTTTTCGCTTCTGTCCACCCACCACTCTAAGAATCTTATATGATGTAATCATGTCATCTATTTCCCTTTTCTGTTTCAGCTTGGTAAGATCTAGTTCTATCTGCCTTTTTGTGAAGCTCAGTTCTCTATTTGGGAGTAAACCATTGGATTTTCTGTAGTTTTTATTTTTTTTTTTGTGGGGATTTCACGCTGTGGCTACATATTCTAGCATTGGTCTAAGAAAGATATTGTCAGTCTCTGTAGGCTACATGAATGTTCGGCAGTTTTGTATACTCCGCTGATGCTACCCTCCTCGGCTAAGTATTGTCAGCATGTCTACACCCTGATTTGTCCATTCTAGATATTCCACTCGACTCCTGCTTAACGTTATCTAGGACCTTACAGAAAACTGTAAATTATTCAGACCCGTAATTTAGTGCCTAATCCGGCTTATATAGGTATGTCTGTAAAGATCTTCCTGATGTTTGGCAGCTCTTCCCCCTCCTGAATGAAGCTCAGAGCTTCAGCTTCATTCCTTAACACTCATGGAAAGACTTGGCTTGGTTCTACGACTTTTGACATATCAAGTATCTCAAGCAACTTTCTCCTCTTCATAGTCTCTCACTCGAAAGTATAATTACTCTACCTTTGGGAGGTGCTTAGGCTCTAATTTGAACAATTTCTGAAAGATTTTGTTTAGTTCCTCACACATATTTGTGTAATTTTTTATTTGGTCCCTTCTTCTCCGATTTAGTCTTATCACATAATCTTCACATATCCATTATATTCTTCCTGGGCTGCTGTGTAACAATTTCGATTGTTATGTAGCCCTGGATTATATTATTCACGTAGTTTCTCGTTGTATATTCTGATACTCAAAATTCATTCTTTTCGCTGTTGCAATTGTTTCAATTTTCCTTTGTCCACCTCTTCCCATACGTCTTCCAAAATCCTCTTGGAAGAGGCTCACGGTCGGCGTTCAATCCCCGACCGTCCAAGTGGTTGGGCACCATTCCTTTTCTCCCGTCCCGTCCCAAATCCTTATCCTGATCCCTTCCAAGTGCTATATAGTCGTAAAGGCTTGGCGTAAAGGCCATTATAAACCTTAATACTGGAATGAATCTACCCTCGGTTTCTAAACAATAATATTTCATATATTCCATCATAACTTGTGCAGGCATTACACATTTGTTAATTTGTGCAGGCATGTTTCACCTGGCTTTAGATTTGGGGTTATGTTTACCCCCAAGTCTTTTTTATATTTTCTGATGAACGAATTTGTCACTCCTTCAGAATGCACTTCCCCCCTCCCCTTTAAACACAATACACCTCTCTCTCCCTCCCCCTCTAAACATTGTACACCCCTTCTCTCCCTTCCTTCTAAACACCGTACACCCCCTCCCTTTCACTCTAAACAGTGTACACCCCCTCCCTTTCACTCTAAACAGTGTACACCCCCTCTCTCCCTCCCTTCTAAACACTGTACACCCCTCTCTCCCTTCCCTCTATGTACAACACACCCTCCTTCACTCCTTCAGTCTGCTTCTGATCACGGTCGAGTTTCTATGTTTAAGGCCAAAGTTTTCTCTATAAATTAAGAATATTGTAAATTATGCAAATGACACACCTTCTTCAATGAACTTAAAAGTTTTTCACAGCTAAAGCACTACACTGATGAAAAACTTGTCGGAAAAATTGTATTTTAGATGAACATTATGGTAATGATGTCTTTGTGTTGGTAAAGCAAACACAGTTTTGGGACGTCCAGTCAGTAATAATTAGTCGCACGGTGCTCACCGGACACTATTGTGAACAGCAGGACCTCTTTTGGTGTACTTAATATGTATAAGTAGCAGCAGCAGTACTCCTAGTAGTAGTATGAGTGCTCTTAAGAGCAGTAATTTATGTAGTCTTATATATGCATTATTTTTAGTAAATGATTTTTGGAGTAATGTTAGTGATTGTAGTTGTATACATTGTGAGAGCAACAGTAATGCTTATGATAGGACTAGTATTATTAATAGCCTTCTTATTTATATATATCTTGTACACTCTTGTATTATCTTTTATTCCAGAGTTTGTTTTATCCCGCATATGCAGCTGCTTCATGCATTTTTACCCTCTCCAGTCTATCACACCATTTCATGCACAACACATAAACACACACACACCCAGGTAGAGGTATGCTGCTAGGCTAGTCCCAGAACCAATAGGCAGGAGTTACGAGGAAAGGCTGCGAAAAATGCACCTCACGACACTGGAAGACAGAAGAGTAGGGAAGACATGATCACTACCTACGAAATTCTCAGAGGAACAGACAAGGTAGATAAAGATAAACTGTTTAACACAGGGGGTATGCAAACAGGTGGACACAGATGGAAACTGAGTACCCAAATGAGCCACAGGGATGTTAGAAAGAACTTTTTCAGTGTTAGAGTAGTTTACAGATGGTATGCATTAGGCAGTTATGTGGTGTAGGCTGACTCCATATACAGTTTCAAATGTAGATATGAAAGAGCCCAATAGGCTCCAGAGTCTGTACACCAGTTGATTGACAGTTGAGAGGCAAGATCAAAGAGCCATAGCTCAACCCCTGCAAACACAACTAGGTGAGTACTAGATGAGTACACACAATTGGTTAATTGACAGGCTGGACAAAGACAAACTATTTAACATGTTCCACCCTATTGAAGTGGGTGGAACATGAACAAGAGAACACAGTTTGAAACTTAGTACCCAAACGAGCCACAGAGACATTAGAAAGAATTTTGTCAGTGTCAGAGAAGTTAACAAATAGAATGCATTAGGCAGTGACAGTGGTGGAGGCAGACTCCATACACAGTTTCAAATGTAGATTTGATAGAGCCCAATAGGCTTCAGAATCTGTACACCAGTTGATTGACAGTTGAGTCTCAAAGCGTCATATGACAAAGAGTATTGAGAAGACAAAGCACCACAAGAATAGTTCTCATCCTGTAACTACACTTAGGTAATTACACATACCGTATTAGCAAATGGTGTTCTAAGTAAAAACATTATGTATATGATGTATCGGGAAGTTGATGGGTTGACCGAAAACTTGACTTTTTTGTGTGTGATGTGTGTATAATTACCTAAGTGGTAATTACACACACACACACACACACACACACACACACACACACACACACACACACACACACACACACACACACACACACACACACACACACACACGTGCATGCACAAAAGTCCAATTTTAGGTCAACTCATCAACTTCTCGATGCATTGTATACATAATTTTTTTTTACTTATTAAATGGTGTTCTAACTTGCATCAATTAAACTATGCTATTTTCCCAATTGTATTTCACTATTAAATTTGTCTGTACTAAGGGAAGTTACTTTTACTAAAAATAATAACTAGTATTTCAGTAAGGTAAAACTATTTTCTAGATATTACAAATACTTATACAGTATAGTATAAAGGTTTCATTTGTAAATATAGTAATACACAGCATATAAACAGTTTGAAAATAACTTTATTTGTATAGGCTCCAGAGTCTGTACACCAGTTGATTGACAGTTGAGAGGCGAGATCAAAGAGCCAAAGCTCAACCATAGCTATTTTGTCTCTATATCAATATCCCTGTGACTATTAATCTCAACTATTTTGTCTCTATATTGATAACATTATATATGTTGTGTATAGATAACATTGGCATTATATATAAATTTTATTGATACTGTATATAATGCCATTGTGATTTTATTGCGATCTGATGTGGGACGTAAGAGTGTGAACGCCATTACCGTAGGCCAGTGTGGTCGGGTTGACTATAAAACCCTACTTAGGCTCCAGTTTGAGGGCCACCAGACCCTCCTAGTGAATTCAATAGAGTTCCAGATTAGTCGACTTTTGTACCATCGTGACAGCAGGTGCTGTCACGATGTCACTTTTGTACCATCTGTTAAGGCAGGTGTCTTTAAATCACCAGAACATAGGTTCAAGTTACTCCATTGCCTCAAAATGATTTTCATATATAGATAACTTAAACATTCTTTGATTTTGAGATTCATCTTTTGTCCATTTGGTTGAAAAAAGAACAAAGTGCTGACAACAATAAAAAGAAGAGACAACACTAAAGTAAACATTAAATGGAGTTAACCTTTGCCTATGAGGGTTGTATCAAATTCTAAGATGTGACTTATAAAGCCCATTTACTAGTGACACATTATCAAAAATATAATTTCCTCTCATCTTTGATATTTCTCTACATTCTGTCCATTAAACCTAACATATGAACATGAGAATAGAGAAACTACAGGACTACTGTGCACATTCTGGCAACTATTAGTTACTGCAACTAGCAATGTTGACTTCATATGAACCTGAATTTTTGGCAAATTATTCACTTACACTTTACATATACAAACACATAACAGTATAGTACAGGGATTTCACCAGCAAAAGACCACCGAATTTAATTTGGTTATTTAATTGAAAACTTATTTACAAGATTACAATAGCACTTCTTGAGTCATATTGCTTGCCAAAGTCTTAAACTCATTTATACATAGTAGTTTTCAGTTCATTAAAAGTACACGTTATGAAACAAATTGAACAGCATTGTCATCCAACTCATTCTTAACAACAGTATTTATTAAATGTACATACAGTGATTAAATATGAACATTTATAAATAGTATTTTATCTGCATGGTTTGTTTTATATACAGAAAAAAGTGTCGTTTTTGCTAACATTTTACTTACTGTATTTCAATTTTAAATTCTGATCTATTTGTTAATTGTTAGCTTTTCTTGAGGTTCAGGAACAACAGTGTCTTTGTTAGTCTTCCAGGCTAAGTATGTATTCCAAACTAATGCAAATGTTTGAGCCACAAGCACCTGATAGTTTAAAGGAACAAAGGAGAAGTTGCAGATTTGAACAGCTGGCCATACCTGCAATATAAACAATGGACATTTGGTGACCAATGGTGTATGTAGGAAAAATAAGCATGAGTAATTAAAATGAGGTAATGTTCTGTCTAACATATCTATATTTATTACCATAAATCTTTTCTGCATTAAGAAAAAAGTCTGATCAATAAACATTTATGCACATTCATTCCAACCTTCTCTCTTCCACACCTTATTCCCTATTACAACCTCTCTCCCACAACCAATTACCTCCCTCCCATGGAAGATCACGGGTAAAACCTTAGCTAAACAGGAACCATGGCTGGGATGATCAAAGTGGAGCCAGAAGGAAGGAGCAGTCCACATATAAGTCCTGCATTTATAACACTGCTAATGACAAATGAACTGGAGAGAATATATTTATTGCATGTATGTATGTATGTATGTATGTATGTATGTATGTATGTATGTATGTATGTATGTATGTATGTATGTATGTATACATATATATATATATATATATATATATATATATATATATATATATATATATATATATATATATATATATATATATATATATATATACACACACACACACACACACACACACACATACATACACACACAGTATTATATACAACCTGTTTCAGTCAACCCTCATTTACACCCCAGATTGTGAGCTGCTTCTAAGATAAAAACAGAAAACCTATAATGTCAGCTATAGCCAAATTTCAGTGTAATAGAGAAAGTGACCTGGATGAAAAATAAAAGAGCAAAAGTAATGATGAGCAAAGTGATGATGTTTGACCCATATACCTCCTGGCAGGGAGTGAACTAAAAAAAAAAGATTTTTTAAACTTTTTACTTTTTAAAAAGTGTTAGTGCTACTCCCAAATGTCTCAGACAGCTTTTTCACTCTCAAACCACAATAAATTTCCTGTCAATTTATAATTTCTTTCCATGTTAATATGCTATATCTCTTACTTCAACTATATACCTTTTCATGCATGATTACATTTTGCTGGCAGAGATCTTTTCTACTAAAAAATGAAGCAGTATCCAAAGAAATAATTCCTGATTAACAGAAAATTTAACAACTAGCAAAGACAGAAATGCAAATACTGCCAGCATGAACTATACAACACACTGGAGAGATGGTCACCGCCAGCATGAACTATACAACACACTGGTGTTCTTTGAAAGAACACTTAATTCCTACACACAACCAGACCATCATCAGATATACTGTATTATGATCAACAGTATCAAAATAATCGGGAGATACAACAATAGAAGATTATACCTTGGTGAAATACTGCAAATCAAACACTCTTCTAGCTACATCTCAACACCCAGATTACACTTAGGTACATTCTACCATCCTCAAAACCAAGACAGAGCATTCAGTTCATACCTCACCAACTGCCTCAGAAAGCAATGACTGGGCAACATCTCACTTCACCTCATCATACACAGTGATATATACTGTAGCTACAGCTAATTTGCATCCACTTCCCCTCTACCTATGAAGATGCGAAGAGCTTTAACAAAATGCACCATTTAAGATTCAGGCTTATAAAACTGTAAAATGAACTTGAAAGTAAGTTTTAAACCTTCCTTCCCGAAAAAAGAGCATATATTTTTTGCACACTACAAAATTATTATAGACTATACACAACAGGCTACTATACCAGTACTTATAAGCAACTACTTGTTAGAAAATATAAATTGTCTTACACTCCAACAGGTCAGTATAATGTCTTTATAGTTCTTCTTGATGTCGTTCTGGATACGCTGTGGTCTATGTCCCTGCATGACCCCCAACACACCCAAGAAGACTCCCAAAAACACAGGTGCAAACACCAATTGATCTACCGCAACTTTTTTCAAAGCTCGTATTCCTTTGCCAGATCCAAATTTGACGTCTAACACTCTATACCATTTTGTTATGGAGGGGCCCTGAAAATATGAAGTGTTTTATAAATGACCTGCAATGATATATTTTATACATTAAACATAATTCATAAAAATATTATAGAAGTAACAATAATGCAAAGAATGTACGATTAGTATCAGGGTTGGTATCATGAACATTTTACAGATACAGTATTGAACAGTATACTGTACTGGCAGTACAGTACATCACATAAGAATCTATAATAGTGTAGTTATTAGTATTACTTAATTATTACAAAATTTAAAGAAAAAATAGTGTATAACTATTTATAATTTTTATATAACACCACATATCATTCATACATTTTAAAACAGTGGTACAAATATCTTAAACAAGAATAAACTCTGATATTGTTTAGCGCAAATGTTTTGCATAAAAATACTCAAAATTTGAAGCATGCAACAAGTCTGTTGATATATGGTATATTTCAATTATTGATACTGTAAAATTAAGGCTGAAGTTTTACTTACTATGAAAAATGTACCAATTGCAAAAAAGCGAGCAGTACGCTGCCATTCATATTGAGTTGCAGGCTTCTTTTCTACAAAAAATTGAGACAAGAGATCCCCAGCTCCTGTCAATGTACCTAAAAAAAACAAATAAAATCAATTTGTTGAATACTGTACATATTCAACTTTATTAAACTACAGTATCTTCTGGAAATCATAAACATATTCTAACAATAATATTCTAGACCCTTTGAGGATGAATAAATTGACCCATTGTTTAACATAACACATTCTTCTTAAATGGCAATCCCAAAAATATTGAGATATACAGTACCTACTCTATTGTTTTTATTTATTTATTTATTTATTTATTTATTTATTTATTTATTTATATACAAGAAGATACATTGGGTTTGTGAGAATACATAGCATGGTATTTACGATCTTGTAAAGCCACTAGTATGCGCAGCGTTTCGGCCAGGTCCTTAATCTAACAGATAATTTTAAGTAGGTAAATTCTGGTGGAATTAATAAAATTATAACAGATCATTTTTTTAACAGATCAGATCATACAGCAGATAACAGATCACTGCATCGCTTTTTTAATTGTTAATAAAGATAACAATCTTGATGAACATGAATGGAGGGATATTATCAACAGGCAAAACACATCTGCCTGGTAGTGACTACTCCCTTCATTAGTGGTACAGTATCATGAATGTAATGATGAGTGGCATTCTCAGCACAAGAACCTTGCTGACCTTAGGCCAATGTTTCAAGAGAGGCTAAGTAACCTTTTTTTCTACGTAGTTCACTCCTAACTGAAATTAACCATACTAACCTATCCGACCCCAAACCTTTACCTAACATAACCTAATTTATCCAGAAATTCCAGAAAAGTGTGACTAGCTGCAAGTGGGGGGGTGACATATGCCTTATTTCTAGTACACTACCATCTTTTCATTAATTTAAAGATACATTGTCTCTAATAAATACTATAATCCTAGATAAATTTGTATTAATCAAGCCCCCAAAATGACATTAGAATATATGACTGCCCCTGTGAAATTTCCACTAAAATATATGGTAACTAAGTACAGTACAGTACATACATACATACCTACATACAAGTGGTGCCGTTTATACTCACGTGAAAATTGGACCTCGTCAGAGAAAGCACATCGCTTTTTTAATGAGTAATTGGAGTAATGCCTGAATAATGATGATTGGATAAATTGGCCACAAGCCCATTGGGTTCTGTGTTATTAGGAAAAATATATATAGGATAATACCACCAAAATTCAGCTTGAAACAAATGATAAAAAACTATGCTTTTTCTCGAAAAGGGTTCAATTTTCATGCACATGTAGGAACAGCACCCGACAAAAGCACAATGAAAATACTGTACTGCACTCTGAAATTTTATTTATTTACTTTATTTATTTATTTATACAAGAGTTCTTACATTCTTGTACAGCCACTAGCATGCATAGCATTTTGGGCAAGTCCTTAATCCTAATGTCCCCCGAAACACAACCCGCCAAATCGTTTAACATCCAGGTAACGTTTTACTGTTGGGTAAACAGAGGCTACAGTTTAGGAGTGGCATCCAGTAAATCCTCCGCAGCCAGGATACGAACCCAGGGAAAAGCACTAGCGAAACTCCAGGCGAGTGTCTTACCACTTCGCCATGGGGATTGAATTAAATGACCCGATATCCAAAAAATATGCTAAATCATTCACCTAAACTTAAAATTAAACCATGTACCTAACTTAAAATTAAACCATGTACCTAACTTAAAATTAACATGTTACAATGAAATACAATTATAAATAGGTAGGAATAAAATGCTTCTTGGGGTATATGGACAAATCACTAGGCTTTTACAGCTCAATACTACAGATTGTTAACCAGAATTTTTGTATAGCTCTTTCTGGATGTGTTATGCAAGACTAAGTGTTATATAATATGTTACATTATGTAAGGATCAGATAAAATAATTCATAATAATTAAAGAATTCATTGTGTCAAGCCAGTTTCTATACACATGTTTTAAGCTTATATCGCAGTCCCCCACAAGGTGGAACTACTGATCCTTCAAAGGATACAACCCCCACAACAAGCTAATTAACTCCTGGGGGGATACAAGTTTACTGCTAGGTTAACAAAATCATTAGATGATAGGAAACGTGCCCAACCATTTCTGTCCCGCCTGGGATTCGAACCCGGCATTCCCGATTATGAGTCGAGAAGCAAAATGTGCTACAGTGGGGTGAGTTGACTTTAATCCCAGCTGTAGTTAAGAAGGTTATCATTGTAATTCACTCAATATATTCTAAAATGTTTTACATTTAACACTGTTAACTGATGTTAAACACACTGTGCATGAAGGTTCACATACCGGTTTGTAGAGACTGAACAACCACAGGATGTTTATGCAACAGGCGAGAGTATACTCTGTATATTGACCCCATTACTCTTGATTCATCAAAGGTACCCAACGTGGTCCTTATCTTCCCAAATACGACCTTCGCTCAGGGCATGTGATAATCTCTCAAGAGTAAGGTTCTTGAAATGATGATGCTTCAGTTTTTCGTTCGAGACTGAACCCGGAGACGCGTTCAGACTTGAAAATTTTACCCGAGTACCTACAATTGTATTATAATTAGAGAAGATTACAGTAGATTAGGGTAGTACGGCCTTGTGAGGCCCTAGTCTATATGAAGGATTGTGCAGTATACGTAAACTAGCTAGGGTTCACCCTCCTATATCACCATTTCAAGTGATGATTGATTTTCTCCATAGGACGGTTGATTACTTGGTTATATATCAATACTTGGTCATATATAAAACATAAATTATATGTATATGTATACCTGATTAACCTGATATGTATACTATATATAAATATTGTATATGTCATCCTGAATTGCATTATTTGACAGATCTAGATAAATTTCTGCATCACAGGACCATATTTATATGTAATTTTCATGAATAATATGTAGGTGATGAAGTTAATGTAAAGGAAGCTGTGGATCTACTTTATATTATAGGTCAATAGTATTAGTGGCCCACTCAGGTAAATTCTGGCAAATATGAATGTGTTATCAGCTGGCAGTCAGCTGGCGTCTGTTGTGGGAAGTGGAGGCGTCGCTCCGGACAATTGGTCACCAAATATTAATAATAATATTTTATTTAGGTAAGGTACATACATACAATAAATTTTTACAAAGATTGGTTGACTTATAGGTAGAGCTAGTACATACAATGCCTAAAGCCACTATTACGCAAAGCGTTTCGGGCATAAATTGGTCACCAAATATTGCACCCTGCGCAGTATTACATTTAGTAAATATACATTTTAGAGTCCTTATGTTAACTGGTTATTTATAACTTAATAGAAAATGCCTTGGTTAGATACTCTCTTGTATACGAAGCTTTCACGTTTATAAAATAAATAAAATCATTGTGTTGGGGGACAGGCAGCCAGTTTTATACACACGTTAGGCTTATATCTGCTCTGCATACATTAGTCCTACTGTGTATTGAATTTTAAACCGACTTGTAAATATTATTTACAAATGTGTATTACTTGTGTGTGCTAAAAATATTCTGGGCTTAGCATCTGCTTTCGATAATTACTTAAGTTGATGTGCATTTTAATATGGATCTGATTGTTGCTTCCCATAAACAATGCATAATGGAATCTCTTAATTAATTGTCATTATTTGGGTTTAAATTGTGACCTTCCTCGGTAATGGCTTAGCCTGTGCATGGTCTCGAGTAAACTTGACACTGGTGAGGTTCGGGTTCCTCTCAGCCTAAATCATTAGTGTAGCTGTGCACACTGTGCTTTAAAACAGTCACACACTAACTTAATTTAAAAATTACTGTTAAAAGACTCGACAACCCATGGTTTACAAAAATGCACAGCAATTAATAAACATAAAGCACAATCACAAGAAAAAATTGCTATGGTTGTCATTTCAACCACTTTGGCTTGGGTAGAGTGATGGGCTCGCTTTATGCAGGTAACTGTTCAATCCCCGACTGTTAAAGTGGTTGGGCACCATTCCTTCCCTCCCCTTCGTGCCATTCCAAATTCTTATTCTGACCCCTTCCAAGTGCGATGCTATATAGTTGTCATGGCTTGGCACGTTCTCCTGATAGTTCCCTTCTCTGATAAGAGTGCCTCTGTTAACAAACACAGTAGTACAAACAGTGTGCTAAGCACTTAATGGAAGCGATAATTAATATGATCAAGTGCCATGTATATATCCATCTTCTTAACTTATCAACTTCTATTGTCTTGTTTTGGTGTCTTGGAAGTGCCTTGGAAGACGAAAACAGCAGCGAACACAAGCCAGCGTATATGTATACTGTATACGAAAGGGTTTGTGTATACAAACTTGTTTGTGAACGAACTGTTTTTTTTTTGTGTACTGAACCGACGGTATCCGAAATGGTTATAGACGATTTGACCAGTCCCCGACATTCCACCTACAGCTGAATGCCACTATCTGGCTTCCACCCCACCAGATTCTGCAGCTGGTGTTTGGTACGTTTGGGGAAGTCTACAGGTGCTGCATCATTGTGGGTGTTCCTGTGGTACCAACAGTTAACATACAAGGGTACTACTGAGGCCTCCCAGAGAAGGGCTTTTCATTACATTCAATGCTTGATTTATTAAATTTTTGCATTTTCTATACTGTATTTTTTCTTATAATACATTCAACTTTTCAGGTTTTGACGAACAAGGCCAGGGATTTCCTCACGATGTTTATGGTTCGATCGTTGTTTCACCTGCTTCTGTCCATTCACTATGGATATGGCATGCATGTATATTTGTATGGCCTAAACCCACCGCAAGATTTTATCAAATTAAGGAAAATTGGTGGAGGACCATTTAAATACCTTACATTTTGGGATATGGTAAGTTGGATTAAAAGAATGACTTTAATCTATTTTTTTTAATTATTTATTTAAATTTACTTCATATGTTCTATATATGGTAGAATAGTCTTGATGAATGAATTGTTTGTTATGGACCATTTTGGCTGCAAAGGAGCCTCTATTATAACCAAAATTTATTATTCACTATTTTGTTCTAAAATTATTAGTTGATTTTTATTCCTCCAAATTATAGAATGAGCATCAGTGCATATTTTAATACAAACTGATTTTAAAAAGAAAAATTATTATAAAAAATATTATATTAATTTGTTTAACACTGCTTACACATCCAGCAGATACATGGACTCTCTCCATTGATACTCTTAAATTATTTTCTGTTGCAACCAAACTAGGTTGACTGTGTTTCATTGTAGTGACATTACTGTGCAGTAATGCACATATTTTTCATGTTATTTATCACATAATTGTCATGTAGCTTGTGCAGAAGATCCAATGGATAGGCAATTATGTATAAAACTTTTCTTCACCCTTTTATTGCAGTATTTTATTAATGTTTAATAAATAAAATTCAGTTTGCTGTGATAATTCTACTTTTCTGCAGGAATCTAGGAAATAATTTTAAACACAGGGGCCTCGTAGCCTGGTGGATAGCGTGCAGAACTCGTAATTCTGTGGCGCGGGTTCGATTCCCGCACGAGGCAGAAACAAATGGGCAAAGTTTCTTTCACCCTGAATGCCCCTGTTACCTAGCAGTAAATAGGTACCTGGGAGTTAGTCAGCTGTCACGGGCTGCTTCCTGGGGGTGGAGGCCTGGTCGAGGACCGGGCCGCGGGGACACTAAAGCCCCGAAATCATCTCAAGATAAACTCAAGATAAACAGTACCAGGTCCTTAGGCCTACATAACTAGTGGAAGTCAGGAGCATTAAGATTGAGGTTGGTTGCTCATGGCAACAATTATTTGATCTGTTTGCCTCAGGATTTCTCTCTTCTTTCTTCTTTCAAGTAGTGTCTTGTTTGTTTCACCAAATTTTTCTCATTGGTTTTTCTTATTTTTGGGTGCATACAAATTTCCAGCTCCCTTACCTCAGTCAAGTTCTTGTCCTGACTCTTTGTAGACCAGTTTTTTTTTTCCTACCACAGACGTGGCCACACATTTACAATGCTAACCAGCATATATACATTTTCTTCTGTCCTCCATGGACAGGGTTAGAGATGTGTTAAACATATAGTTGAAGGGTTTATTGAACAATCAACCACAGAAGGTGATTCGGTGTTTTTCTTAATGGCCTGCTGTAAGTCTTTAGGTTTGGCTACACCACCATTAAAGATTTGGGGAGCAATTTTTGGGCCGACTAGAAAAGGTCATTTCAATACATTTGATACTAATTTTTCTGTTGGAAAATACTCAAGCGCTTTTCTGCTATGGAAATAAATACATATTTTGAATGGTAGGCCTATATGGTACAGAACATGGAAAGTTCTGCTATTTTTTGTATTAGAAATATAATAAAACTGTCAAAAACTATAGGTAAATCAAATTGAGCTTCAAAACAACCCTTGCTAGCAAGCAGTCCGCAACTCAAGTACACAAGGAATGATTTATAAATAAAACTAGGAAATACTTTACCTGAATATGGAGGAAAGTGTTTATTGGATATAGAAAACTAAATCAGGATTAGTCTTAATAAACTGCTGTACTGATATCCAGCTAATAAAATGTAATGTATTTTGTGTAAATTAAAAAAAAAGTGTGAACCTTTTTGTGTATGTAAATAAATTGTTTAGGTACTAGTTTAAATAAAATGTGTATAATATATGTACATATAGTATAGTGTATATATTTTAATGTTCTAAAGATGCTCATGGTTTCTTTTGTTACAGCTGCTGCAGTTCACGTATTTTACGATAGCATTTTTAAATGATATTGTGGGATCCAACACCACATCGGCCAAGAATCGGGTAACTCTGCAGAAAGTCCGTGACTTTCTCTTTTCGACTGTTGTATTTTCAGTTGGTTCAGTAAGTATACTATTTTTTACAGTAAGTAAAATATTGTTTAATTACATTTATAATTAAATCTGTATTTTAATTCAAACTTGCAAATTTTTACGGTAATTTACTGTACTGTAATTTTTTTTTTAGCTGTTATAAGTTTATTTTATGAATTTGAGGTTATCATGTATGTTATGCCCTAAACTAATCTATAAATTATAACAGAACTCTCATAAACAAGAAACACTTTCCTATTGGAAAAAATATAATTTATAAATAACTTTGCAGATTTTATGTTCGGTATTTTTAGCGTGTAGGAAATATGTGGATCAACTCTTCATTGTAAACAGTTGTCGGCTATTTTCTCAATATTTTTCTAGGTGGGAGTCCTTTGTGGCTCCCTGATGCTACCATTTCCGATGTAGATGCCACCAATCACGGAGTTCTCTGGCCTACCATGAACCCAGCGCTAGAACCTGGTTTCCTCAGAGGCGACTGGTGCTGTGACATTTATATATTAAGTTATTCATTTAGGCTATTACCAAGGAAGGCACTCTTAAAGTCACTGAATCAAAACAAACCACAGCTGGTGGCCTCCGAGACCTGCAGGCTCGAAAACAACTATAAAACTCTCCAAAATATGTAAATAAATGATAACTAATGTTACAAACTAGCACCTGCTTGTTTACCCTACCCTCTTTCTTGCTTGGGGGGTAAGAAGGTGGAAGGCCACAGCTCACAGGCCTCTGTACCATCAGTTCTCTGCTGTGTGCCTGGTCTGCCACAGTCGCTCTGGCCTCTGTGTTCGAGTCAGCTTCGGGTAACTCTGGGGCTGCTCGAGCAGCTGTTCAGGATCCTCAACTTTGCCATCCTTGGCTTCAGTGGTTGTATTGATTCGTCCAGGGCACTCCCTTTCGCAGCTGCTGCGACCACTGGGTGAGGGCTTCGATGGTCCCTGTGTCAGCTACTGCATCGCTGTCTTCCTCTTCAGGCTTTTTGGAGTTCGGTTCCCTGCAACGTACCTCCACCGGCACTCGACATCTTTAGAGGTGCCTCGGCTCTCAGCTGGGACTTTGTTACCATCGATCATCAGGCTAGCTAGGGGCATTGTTTTCCCCTTCTTTGCCAGGTGTACATCACTGCAGGAGTTTGTGGCTGTGTGGCATACATTGCGGAGGATGCGGACTCCTCCAGGCTCTGTTGGTCGACTCCTTTCAGGCTGTTTTACCATGGTTTGTTGTCTCAACCAGGGAAAGGGTTCACTTCGGTCCCTACCTCTTTGTAGCTGCACGCTGAGTGTAGCTCTTCTGGATTCTCAAGGTTTGGCTCTCCATGCTGTTCATGTCCTAGGAGTGTCCAACATCTTTGCCGATGGTCTGTCTTGGTTCTCTTCTGTCTCCATGGAGTGGACCATCAACACCTCCTTCCTCTGTCTCTGTAAGATGTTCGGGCATCCGGATATGGACCTCTTTGCACCAGCTTGATCCCGGCTTCTTCCACTCTACGTGACACTGATCCCCGACTGCAGGTCCCTCATGGTGAATGCCTTTCATCTGGACTGGTCAAGGTGGGGATTTCTATACTGTACCTCTTTTTTCCTGGTCTAGCTGCTGCCTCGAGTCCTGTTGCAGTTGGTGTCCTATGAGGGGAACATGATCCTTCTGGCTCCTTGGTGGCCAGCCAAGCCTTGTTTTCCCAGAGTTGCTTGCTCGGTGTCGAAACCTGGGCATTTTTCCGTGGCTCTGCCTCTTCCAGAGGGTCGGTCCGGCGATGTACTTGGGTTTGTTTGAACTTCTTGGCTCTTTGTGTCTGCAATATTGTACACAGGTGTATAGCCATATTTATGGCATTCAGATGGCAGAGTTGGTGTCCCACCTGTGGGTTTCCTCAAAGCAGCTGTATGAAGTTTCGTGGCAATCATTCCATCACTTCATCTCGCCTAGACATTGTTCGTCTGTTTTCAAGCAGGTGGTTCTTCTTTTTCTCTCTCTGCTGTTTCTTGATTGGCATTTCATGCCAAATATTGTCATCTCATACAGTATGGCACTGGGGGAGCCGCTTCAGCTTGCGTTCGAGGTCAATACTTCCTCAGCTCTGTTTCACAAGCTGTCCCATATGTTTTACCTCTGATCTGCAAATGCACTGCCACAGCCAGTTTTGTCTCTAGACCAGGTGCTCCATGTTCTGTCTTCTGCTCGGTTTACTCTGTCCCCTTCTGTCTGGAAATGCTTTATCAGGTCTCTTTGTTTTTCTCTAGATCTCTGGTTTCCATTTGCTGTGATGATGAGCTTTATGCTCCACTTCGGCATTGGGGTTTTTGCTCCTCTGGTCCTGATGGTCAGTTTGTTCTTCTCCAGCCAGCTCCTTCTTTTCTGCCGAAGAATGAGTCAGTTTCTGAATGGGTCCTTTGGTTATTGATGCTCGTTGGTTTGGCTAAGGGTGCATCATGTTTTGAGTCTAGGGGTGGCTCTCTGTCGCTACCTCTGTGACATATATTCTTGTGCTGATATTCGGGCATGGGGGTTCTGGAGGTCAAATAGGGTGTTAGTGGCCCAGTACTCGGTTAGTGTTCCCAGGCCTCAGGTTGTGTGGCCTTGGGTCGGCTCTCTAGGCCAATGGTCTCGTCTTCGCTATGATATCTGCTGTGCTCCCTCCCTGGTACATGTCCATTTCTTCCTTCTCCATGGGTAGTTATCTTCAGGGAGTCACAAGGGGCTTCCTGTAAAAAACAAGTGTTAAATATAATAAAACAACGTAAAGAGAGAGAGAGAAGACAAAGGAGCACCAAGAAACTTCTCGGTTGCCTGGATCCCCAGTGGGAAGCAATGGCTCAACCGTCTCCTGCATTGAAATGGATTTGTCATCCCCCGAAGAAGGGCAAGCTACACCTACAACGAAACACAAGTCGGGTTCCGAGACCTGCAGACACCTTGAAATTCGAAGCAAGTGAGGGGGCTACAAAAGGTTTGCACAAATAAGATAATGGAAGGAGCCGCAGTGAAATGCACAGCATCAAAAACACCAGCCACTCCAATCCCAGAATGTAAAAAACAAAAAGGGCCAAGTCTGGCCCTTTTTGTTTTTTACATTCTGTATGAGTGCCAAGCTGCTCACAAAATTGGCTGACAAACCTGATGTGGTGGCCAGCTATGCAGCCTTGTCACTAAAAAAAGAAAAACAAAACTAGTTGACCAGTGAACCCAAATGTCACAGGCTGCAGGGCACAGCTGCACCCACCCAAAAGGCAACAAAGGGAAACAGAAAAATTGACCATTGTTTTATAGCAAAAGTGATAGAAAATGTTCAAACCACAAGTAGCAAGCACAGACTCGACGAGGTGAGCCATAACAAGTCACAAGTGTGGCAAGCATGTGATGCAAGCCATAAAGCTGAATGGCATGTACAGTATCAAAGTATTGTCTACCTTCACTCGGTAATATTTTTTAAATATTCAATAACTTCTTTCACTATCTTGATTCTTTTTTATTATTTTTGATGAAAGAGGATATATTTATGTCCTGCTTCCTCTTGGTGCCCATTTCAATCTACCATTACTAGCAAAAAAATTCTTAATATCTCTTCTTCACATTTTTTTTAAGTCAAGTATTGTAGTTTTAAATTCATACCAAATGTTCCAAATACTAATATATTTAAAAAAGTCCTTGCACCCCTTTTTACTTGTACCCCTTTATAATCTTATGAGTACAGTAATTGTTAACTCTATCCTTTAGCTTTTAGTTGTACCAGTGCTTATTCCTTTAGTCTTTGTTCATGCTAATCACTTTAATTCTAAGATTAATTTTGTTGCATGTTTAAATTTCATTAACAAGGGCATGTGTAAGCTAATTAAGTCAAATTAATGTAGTTTGTACTTTCTCTCATATTTGATTATATTTTTCAGTTTGTTTCCATCTCATTTTGGGGTTTATACAACATCGACCGAAACCTAATCTTCCCTCCAGTGTTCGACTCTTGGTTTCCGTGCTGGCTGAACCACAATGTACACACTACACCATTAGTGGGTGTCCTCCTTGAGTTATACTTTGTTCCCCACATTTTTCCTAAACGGAGAGCAGGATTAGGAGTTGTGGCGTTTTTCAGCTTAATGTATCTAACATGGTGAGTGTTTTGTAGGAAATTATGTGTTGTGTTGCATTTAAGGTAGCAAGTTCTTTTTTTTTTAATGAGATTAGCACATACAAATATTCTTATGTTATTAGTTGAGTAGACAATGTATGCTGGTGTTAGGGACGTGAAGCATTTTAGTCATATGGAGGTCCCCTTACTTAAGGATGCAGGTGTCAGCACAGTCACCCACCCATCGCTGGCCTTAACATTGTTGAATGACTGAGTGTGTTTCTTTAAACCTGATGTCACTGTTTACCTATCAGTTAACTGCACCATATAAGTGGGTCTTCATGTAATCACAAAATCACTCAGTGTATAATTTCTTATCTTTGAATACATGATTCATTTTGCTTATAACAGGATATTAAGACATTATTGTTTTCAATCCTTTGAGTGTATTTGTGTCCTGAGGGCCTCAGGACTGACAACACTACAAACCAAACATGACAGGGCTTGTCATTGAGACAGTTAAAATTCAGTACAATACTAAACAAATTGAAAAATATTAATTCAGACTACAGTACTTCTTTTATAAGTTCCACTGAAACTCTCACGAGGGAAAACAAACACCAAGCTTAACAGGCCACAATGTAGGACAAATAACTGGTGATGCTTTTCATCCCATAGGGTAATAAACCCATGAAATCAACTACCCATTGAAGCTACAAGTGCCATGTACGGTTCAAAACTCAGATGCAAGAAATTATCAGGAATAACGGCGTGACCTTTGACAAGCTGACGCTTCCAGTCTCTGTCGAAGCCAGTTGAGTTGGTGGCTGTCAAGTAAACTACCTAAGTGTAGTTACAGTATGAGAGCTATGCTCATGGAGCTGTGTGTTCCATATAATGTTCTGTCGTGATTTTGAATTCATCTTCTACTCAATTCATAAAAGTGTCTTTATAAACATTTTTTGGAGTTATTGTTTTCTTTACTTGAATTTATGGTCTCTTGTTCTTGAAGTTGCAGGTTTAAAAAATCCCTTCTTACCAACTTTATCTATTCCTGTCAATTTTGGAACTGATAATCCTGTTGCCTATTTTTCTTCAGTCTACTAACTTTGGCATGTTCATGTGTTTGTGTGTGTGTATTTTTGTGTTTGTTATTGTTAATGCTGCAAAAAATATAATTTAATAAATTTGTAATTATAATTTTGGGCAATTTCTCTATAGCTTTACATAAATTAATACTAATATAATTTTAAAATACAGTAATCACATTTTCAATATATATATAATTTAAAAATAATTCCAATAACTCATTATTGGGGACAGAAACCTTGTACAATGGGGCCTCGACTTACGATGCTAATCCGTTCCCAGGGACGGATCGTAAGTCGAAGCGATTTTTCCCATAAGAAATAAAGAGAATTGAATTAATCCGTTCCCCACCCTCCAAAATATTAACATACATTTTATACTGAATACAATGTTTTTTTCTAACTACAATACAGTACCAAAGTTTCTCTTACCTTTATGGAGGGCTCTTGATGGCGTATGGAAGATGGTGGTGAGGGGGGAGGAGGAGGAGGAGAGTTGTTACTGTTTGGAAGGGGAATCCCTTTCCATTATCACATCCGGCAGTGATGTTTTCTCTAGGGTACTCTCTCTTACGTTTTGCCTGAATACCACTAGGACCTGGTTGTGGTTCAGTGCTTGTTTGTCTCACTACAAATTTGTCAAGAGACATTTGTTCTTCCCTTCATTTTAACATTTGTCTGTAATGATGCATCACAGTGTCATTGAATAGGTTAAGGTTACGACCTACTGCAGCTTGATTTAGTGTGAGTCGTTTCAGCAAAGGTTTGCAATTCTTCCCATGCTGCACACATTTTCTTAATTTTTGAGGAAGAGACATTCTGTACTGTTGTTTCTGCTCTATGGTCATCCTTACATGGGTTTTCATATGTTGAGCCTTACCACTGACTTTCCTGGGACTCATGGCGTGATATATAATAAATACTTTAATGTTCAAAATGCAAAAATTCACCACAAAAGCGGAATTTCTTATAGGCGCGATCGTCACTAAGCGGGCAGCTGTAGTAAACTGAGGCAGGTCGGCCGCGTGACCGGGAACCACGCGCTCGGTCGACTCGAACGTGTACCAACAAATATCGGAAGTCAACGACACCATCGGATGTCGAGTCGCATTTTTCGATGAAATTTACATCGTAACTCGAAATTATCGTAAGTAGGGGCAATCGTATGTCGAGGTGCCACTGTACTTAGCCTTATTGACATCCCCCCTAGGCTACTACTGACCTTACCTAGATGCAACCCACAACAGTTGCCTTACTCCCAGGTATCTATTTTATTGCTAGATGAACAGAGGCATCAGGTGAAATTAAATGAGCCCAACCATTTCATGCCTTTATCGATGTGCTAAACCTGGTGAATCTATGCAGTACTTTGCTTCGGGACGGAGCTTGACGGGAGCACCCCAGTCTCCAAATGATTTGTGCTTCATCTTCACTGATATCGTATTGGTAGTGCACTGCCTCAAGATGGATAATTTACAGGTCTTTGCCTTTGATTGAGTGGTTATAAATAGGAGCTGCCTCGTATGGGCCAATAGGTCTTCTGTAGCTACCTTCGATCTTATGTTCATATTCATTTGTTGCTTGCCATAGCCTCTGTCGGGCTATTCAGGATTTAATCCTCTGTGGGTCACATTCTGGGGTTGTCAGATATGTTGGCAGAAATCTCTCCATATTTCTTCCAATTTGGATAATATGGAAGCTGAATAAAGCTTCCTTCCTGTGGTGGATGTGACAAATTCTGCTTTCCTCAGGCAGCTCTCTCTCTCAATGAAACCACTATCTGCCCATCTGTTGTTTCACTTCATGATCACATTGCTCTTGTGTTGTTTCCTGTGTCATTTGAAACATTTGGAGATCATTTATTTCTTCTAATTAAGGGGCTTCTACTAGTTTTAGGGAAGTAGAGAGCTCTGGTCCCCCTCATTGTTCTATTTACGCTTTGCCAGATGTCTCATCCTAGTTTCATTTCCTGCTCATCACTTCTCAGAGAATCTACCCTTGGCTCTAGATTTTATTAGGCCAGATCTACCAAGACATGGATGGGGAGTAGGTACTGGATGTTCTTATTCAGTTTTTTTAGGTTCTCACATCAGGTCTCCTCTTATTGTCTCTGTTCTAATTTCCTTCATGGTATAGCTGTTTTAGAAGAACAGGCATTGATGCCCAATGTGATCTGTTTGTTTAAGCTTGCATTTCATCTCATCATTTGGTTTTCTGTTTTCACTTTTCTTTTTCTATTTTCCTGCAACTCAAGAAGGCCAGTTACCATCTATGCCCGTTTCACACAAATCCTGAGCCTGCCTGGTTGAGAGAGGGTTTTATATTTTCTGTCTTTGGTAAGGTTTTCCATTTCTTCGTTATTTTTCTAACTCACATCTATGAGACTTTTACTTCTTGTTCCTATCATTGGGTTAGAGAACTTTCATTGATTCATGTTTGAGGTTCATTGTTTGTTAGGATGATACCTTTATACATCTCAATCTCACTAAAAGCAACACAGTTAATTTCAGCTTGGACTCAATGTCATTCAGGCTTGGTTTCTATATTCTGAAGTGCATCACTTCCACTGTCCTGTAGCTTCTCTTTGCTGCTCATTTTGTAAGGAAATTTGCTACACACCCAGTGTTCATCTTGGCCAAAGTCATCCTTTGAAATCAGAGTGCCGGAATTCTGGTGTTCACTGAGCATTGCTATTGTGTGGCATTTGGTCAGTGATCATGCTCAATCTCCAGTGAATGGTTGTAATGTTCATATTTTATACATGGTATTCTTCATTTGTATTCTGCATGTTATTAATTGGGCTCGGGCATATGTTAAACCTTTTTGCATTCATATTCTTTTGTAACATTCTTACCTTAAGAGTAAATAAATGGTGGAAGCTCAAAAATCAAGCTAGAGCAATCATGAAAAGCCCCATTCCAAGCAGTCCTAAGTCAGGGATTCACCTACGTTAGCGAATTCAGTTAGGGAGGGATTCAAAATCTGTCCCAGTTTTGTTCCTCTGTGGTCTGCTGTAGTTTTCTTAAGCCATTATTTAGGAAGAGTTAAGTCATGGAACCTAAGGTTATTCATGATCTTACCACCTAGTGGTTGGTAATAGGGATAGCCAAGCAGGTAAATGAGTAGTTTATGGCAGGTTCTTTGTTGATCTTTTTGGGCCCCTGTTAGTCATCGAGTGGCTTTTTGCTACGATCTTAAAGGGATGGTTAAAAATGTGACTTAACTTCAAGAATTTTGGCTTCACTGTCTGTTGACAGTCTAGTAATTTGCAAGCAATTTTATTTTGTTTATTTTTGTGTGAAACCTTGAAAAAGCCTCATTGTATTGACTTGAAACTAAAAGCACATACAGTGGAACCTTGATTTTCAAATGCCTCTCTTTTCAAATTTTTTTATTCTCGAGCTCAATTTCTTCTAAAAATTTGACGTGGTATTCGAGGTTTGCCTCGGTGCTCGAGTTTGTAGATACACATATAGGCCAACTGAGCACGTGGTGTGCTTCAGTTTACCAGTCTCTCCCACCTACTGATGACCGAGCTTGAATTCTTTGTGAATAGTTTCATTGTTTTGTGCTATTTTTGGTTTATGAACATGCAAGTTCTTATTATATATCACACCATGGGTTCCAAGAACATCAATGGTAAAGTTCAACCTAAAAAAATTGTTGTGAGGATGACAATAGAGGAAAAACAAGAGATCATTCATAGTGAGACAATGTGATATCTCACTGCAGATAAGTTGGAGCCGGTCGGCCGAGCGGACAGCACGCTGGACTTGTGATCCTGTGGTCCTGGGTTCGATCCCAGGCGCCGGCGAGAAACAATGGGCAGAGTTTCTTTCACCCTGACGCCCCTGTTACCTAGCAGTAAAATAGGTACCTGGGTGTTAATCAGCTGTCACAGGCTGCTTCCTGGGGGTGGAGGCCTGGTCGAGGACCGGGCCGCGGGGACACTAAAAAGCCCCGAAATCATCTCAAGATAACCTCAAGATACAACATAGGGAAATAGTGTCTATAGACAGATCCTTAGTAAGAACATAAGAACATAAGAACAAAGGTAACTGCAGAAGGCCTATTGGCCCATACGAGGCAGCTCCTATTCTATAACCACCCAATCCCACTCATATACTTGTCCATCCCGTGCTTGAAACAATCGAGGGACCCCACCTCCACAATGTTACGCGGCAATTGGTTCCACAAATCAACAACCCTGTTACTGAACCAGTATTTACCCAAGTCTTTCCTAAATCTAAACTTATCCAATTTATATCCATTGTTTCGTGTTCTGTCCTGTGTTGATACTTTTAATACCCTATTAATATCCCCCCGGTTATGTCCATTCATCCACTTGTAAACCTCTATCATGTCACCCCTAACTCTTCGCCTTTCCAGTGAATGCAACTTAAGCTTTGTTAATCTTTCTTCATATGAAAGATTTCTAATTTGGGGAATTAACTTAGTCATCCTACGCTGGACACGTTCAAGTGAATTTATATCCATTCTATAATATGGCGACCAAAACTGAACTGCATAATCTAAATGGGGCCTAACTAGAGCAAGATATAGCTTGAGAACCACACCAGGTGTCTTGTTACTAACGCTGTGATTAATAAATCCAAGTGTCCGATTTGCCTTATTACGAACATTTATGCATTGATCCTTTTGTTTTAAATTCTTACTAATCATAACTCCCAGATCCCTTTCGCAATCCGACTTCGCAATCACAACACCATCTAGCTCGTATCTTGTAACTCTATCATCATTACCTAACCTCAGAACTTTACATTTATCAGCATTAAACTGCATCTGCCAATCCTTTGACCATTTCAAAACCCTATCTAGATCAACTTGAAGTGATAGTGAGTCCTCCTCCGAATTAATTTCCCTACCGATTTTCGTATCATCGGCAAATTTGCAAATGTTGCTACTCAAACCCAGTATAGTAAGAGAAGCAAGCAGTGAGCCGCAACCAGGTTCTAGTGGTATGTCTGCAAAACATAAGAGAGAGTACCGCAGAACTATCTTCACTGCTAATATAACAACACTAACACCTCTCCTCCTTCCCCCTTTCCTCACCATCTTCCATACACAAACAAGAGTCCTCAATGAAGATAAGATACACTTGTACATACTGTAGTACAAAATATAAGTAGTATTGTAGTATGTATAAAATATGTTTTTAAGTTAATATTTTTGGGGGTGTGGAACGGATGAATTCAATTTAAATTATGTATTTCTTATGGGAAAATTGTTTCGGTTTTTGAATTTTCGGTTTTTGAACTGTCTCTGGAAAGGATTAATTTGAAAAACGATGGTACCACTGTATATATATATGATCATAAAATTAAGGTTCCTTTCATTACTGAATAGTGTAACCTAATAGTAGTATTTTTCTTTACTTGTTTGTTGTATATGATTTAATAAATTGAAACAAAAGAGCTACTTTTGTAAGTATATTCCTAATGTTATTTGTTTTGTAACAAATAACATTACAAATAACATTTGTAAGATATGCCCAACATAGGGATCAGGGATATGTCCCTTCATTGGCTATAATTAAATCCATGTTTAGTTGTGATTATAATACAAGTTCCATAGTGATTTTAAATATTTTTCAGGGTATGTGTAATTGCCTATCAAACACAACATTGGGTATATCCTATCTTAGCTGATTTGCCGGTAATTGGGCGTGGTATCTTCATATCACTCATGTCTGTAATGATCAGCCTATTCTACATTTTGGGTGAAGTTCTAAACAAAAATATTTGGGGTAAGTATTTTGTAGTAGATTCCCTTGTTTATTTCATTATGCATTGATTGCTTCTTATCGATTTTGATAACTATTATGCATCTCTTCCATTAGAGCTCATGCCCTGCAAATGCAACTAGGTGAGTACAAGGGAATGCATTCCAGATAAGAGGGTGCTAACTCAGTAGGTGCTCAACATTCTCTTAGTAGGTGCATCTAGTTACACCATACAAATAATAAGTAGGAATCACAGTGTTGGACAGTTCCAAGTGGGTATGTAGCATGCCAGTAGGTGAGCAAGCTGGGAGAACTACAATGTTGCCCCCAGATTGCTATAGTCAACACTGCCTCAATGATCCTCTATATCTAGCTGGTGTGGAATGTGTCCAGTGGGTGTACAGTACTGGCAGACAAAGGTAGGATGTGGGAAGTAACAGTGAGTGTAGGGGCTGTGACCAAATGTTGAGGGAGAAAAAACTCAACATGCAACACCGCTTTCTGGTAAAAATTTGAAAAGGATCATGACTTGTATTGCAATTTTGCTTTTCATTCTAACAGTGGCCACCTAGGGACAGTAACTGTCCCATGTCTCTGACTAAGCAATTGCCAAGCCCAAAAGAACAATGCTGAAGGTGTAAAGATTATTTATTGATGTCAACGTACACCAAGTGGCGCCCATTTGTTCTGTACAATTGTGCATGTTTATATCATGCTTAAACTTATATCATGCTAGCCACCTTTAGCCCAGGTACTTGTCAGTTGCTAGTACTATCACACATGAGCAAACAGGAAAAGCAAAGTGATATATCCGTAATGAATGTAATGAGGAGGAAGTTAGGATGGGTGTTTCTATTTGTGTTAAGATTGGATTAACTTGGATTTAAAAAAGAACAAGTTCAAGCCTCTGTACTGTAACCATCGCCTTCCGTGCCCCTCTGTACTCTCGACACCCCTAATCGGAGGACATATCCAAGAGTAATTTTTCGGATCTTAAGCACTATATTGAGGTTAGCCGTTAGAACCCGAGTTCCTCTCTTTTTTTTTTTTTTCCCAGGTGTTATAATGTAACTTGAATACCCGTTATTAAATATCCATGGTTTTACCATTCAAAGATTTAAGACGAGCTGCATTGCACGATTGCACTAACTTGCCAGTCATTTTGTTTTAATTTTACAGCCAGAATAACCACAGATGAAATTGTCATTGTTGTAGAATTCAGTTACAGAACTCTACTGTACTGTTACTCAAGTTAATTTCACCATGCAATTTATACAGACCATGTAAGAGATTTCACCTTATGCAGCTTATGAATTAAACAAACTGGAACTATGAAATAGCAAAAATAATTTGATACATTGTGTACTGTAATTTCATGTACTGACATGCTTTAATATTTAATTGTTTTCTAACAGTGTATGGCTCAAGAAGACCCAACTCTTAATTAATAAATTTTTTCCAGGGGTAGAACTACACAAGAAGGTGAAGTAGACTGCTGAAAATGAAGATGATTGCTGTTTATGTCATGAGAAATTATTTGCTCATTGACACCTCACGTTAGTGTGATTACTCTGTATATTGAAAGAGGAGCGTCAGAGCTAGAACATTCCTGGATGACAGAGCCAGAGTGCATGTGGGGGAAGTGTGAAAATCCTGATCTGGCTTCAATGGTAGCTTCAGGAAACCCTTGTGAGCTCAGTAGAACTCCAGGTTGCAATACTTTTACCATGTCATGGCCTAGTTGACTAGGGCGTGTGCGTGGGAACATCCACCACTAAGGTTCGAACCCCTCATCACAGCTCCTATGGATTTTCTCATTGACACATCACATTAGTGTGATTACTCTGTGTCTGTGATCATTATCATCATTATTATTATTATTATTATTATTATTATTATTATTATTGTTATAATACACAGTACAGCTCAGTTTGAGCATGGTAGTTGCAGTCCTTTTCTGATTCAACTTGTTTATTCCAGATCTTAGGACCAATTTCAATGTATGTTGATGCATTGCTCTGTTTTTTACTGTGTTTATTTTTTATAGTTTACAGATTATTTTTTAGGTAAACAGAGTATAAGCAGTACTCTATATAGAATGAAAATAGTGTTGTGTAATAGAGTAAAATGTGTTCATCATTTCTTAATAGACAGAATAGTTTATTGAAGAGCTTTCTTCAAGCATTTGTATTCTTGTATAACTGCACCACTTTTCTGGCATTCCTCTCATCAACATAGGCTCTTACCGTTTCTTTCCATATTTACTTTCAGCGTCCTTCCCTCTTTTCCCTTTAATCCGGTAGTACAGTCGGATTCGTTCTTGACTCACAATCATGAATACAGTACCAGGTTTGAATTCTGGGCAGAATACAAATGGTTGGGTGTATTTCCTATCATATAATGTTCCTGTTCACCTAGTAGTAAATATGTACCCAGGAGTTAGTCAACTTGTTGTTAGGTTGCATATTGTTAGAGGGTCAGTAGTATGATTTTTGGGTGGACCTCAATATAAGCCTAACATGTATATATACACAGTCTGTCACCCTAAACAAATATTATTATTATTATAAAATAATAAAAATGTTACTGATGACTGTTAAAAAGGCATATAAACAAAAGTAATGTCATGTGCTACAAGTGGATGGTCAATTTAAATACTGTACCTAGATTGTGTGACTAAAAAACTAAATTTCTGCTAACAAATTATTGGAAGAATTGGCGTAGTAGAGTGGCTTTTGCAATGAAAGCTCAAGTTACAAAGCATGGTAAGAAGACATGCTGCTACAGGACTGGATGGAGGAGTTGTAATACCAGATCTATCATTATTTACTGCTTTGAGACTAAGGAGGCAAGAGCACATAAAATCAGAGTTAATAGAGAAGAAATGTTGAATGAATGATAGTAATGAAAGTGTATTAAAGTGAATTTTAAAGATTAGAAGGCTACGAAGATGATTGGCAGCTATGGCATGTGTTGAAGCAGATACTTCATGTTAACAAGAAGTGGAAAGGTGGTAGCTCTTAGTTTTTATGTGATGGGTAATATGGAGCATTTCACACATCTCTGAAGCAGTTTAATGAATTAGAGTATGATTGTGCTGTTTCTCTGTGATTTTGTTTAGTGCAATATATATGATAAATAAATGGTGTACATCATTATTTTACTATTCTGCATTCCTATTTTTGATTATAGTCCACAATACATTAAAAACTGTTCAGCATTTAGTAGATGCCATTTAGAAAAAAACGACTAAACTTGAGGAATAATCAAACGAGCATTTGACATCAACTTCCCCTCCGTGGTGCCTCCTTGACGTGATGAGGGGCTCACGTACACCTCCCTGGGACGGGTGTGGGTTGCCTATGCCCCCTCTCCTGCCCCCTCTTTGGATGGTGTACGTGCTGAAGGGTACCATGTAGGGGCCTTGTGAGCCATCGGACTACCCACTGGAGGGGTCGCCTGTGAGAGGCCGCCCTGAGTGGATGGTTGGGTGTCCAGGCTGGGGCGATAGGGGGTCTGGGGTCTTAGCACCAGTGTGGGAGAATGAACGAAGTAGTAGGACTCCCCTGTTGAAAAGGGGGAGAACCGTGGGGGACGACGCAATCTTCCTGCACTGGCTCGCGCTCGGCCTCCCTGGCTGCCCTGGTAGGTGGTATCCCTTGGTTCCAGGTCCCATTCTTTAGATATTGGTTTGCTGCGTGGATGATGACTTGACTTCTCTTACCCAGGCTCATGGGATGGGCGACTAGGCCCTTGAGTCGGACCGTCCTGGAAGACCGGGATCTGTAGCCCCCACTACAGGATCCGGTTTAGGCCCAGACCGGACTCTTCCTCCCTGCTCCCCTCCCTCCTCTGTGGTTGGGTCGAGCCCCAAGCCTGCTGTGGTGACCGTCTCATCCCCTTGCACGGCTCCATCTCTTCTTGTGACTACTGCACCATTTGACCCGTCTCTCTCTAAAGGTTCTCGTCGCCGTCCCCACCACGGCCGCTCTCGTATGCTCCTTTCCCATACTAATTCGTTCCATGATTTGTTTGGTCCTGCTACGTGGGATAAGTACTTTGACCTCCTTCCTTTGGATTCAACTCCTGACGATTTTTCCTTTCATAGGCATCTTGTCGATTCCGTAGATGCCTCTGTCACCTTCAACCCCACCCGTCTTGGTACCCGTGTCGTTGCTGCTCCTCAGGATGCGGCCACCTGCTTGGCCGCCTTATCCTGCCTTGGCGAGACCCCTGTTCGGGTCTCGAAGAACGCTCGGTTGAATGCCAGTGTTGGTACTGTTCTCCTCCCGCACCATGTTGCAACCGGTGTTCGGAATCTCAAAGACTGCCACGAGGATATCGAGGATAGCTTGATATCCTCGAGGCCCAGGGTCATTCTATCCTCCAGGTACTCGCCTAATTGTGCTTGTGGGGGTTGAGCTTTGGCTCTTTGGTCATACGGTGGATACGTTTACTCGTCCCCCTCGTGGTCATCACCGTCTGCCCCTTCAGGTTGTAAAGGTTACCTTTGATGGTAGGACCCTTCCACCCTCTGTCATTCTTGCTGGTGCCAGATGCTTCGCTCAGGAGTATATTCCATCTCCTCGGCTCTGCAGTAAGTGCTGGAGGTTTGGGCATGGTGCCCTCAAATACTCTAGTCCTCTCTCTCTCTGTCCCTTGTGCGGAGGCGAGGGTCACTCTTAAGTTGGAGTGCACTTCTCCCCAGGCCCGTTGCCTCAGTTGCAGTGAGGCCCACCCTCCCTTCTCCTGTACGTGTATTCGTTACAAACTTGAGGCGGCTGTCCTCAACTTGAAGCACCGGGACCGTTTGTCTTTTCCTGAGGTTCGGCACCAGGTTCATCGTCTCCCCTCTTTTGCTGGCGTCTCATATGCTCGCGTGGTGCGCTCGTCCTTCCCACCTTCCTCAGTCTCGCAACCGTTTCCAAGCCTTAGACCCAGACACGCCCACCACCACCTCCTCTGTTTCCCCTCCATTCTGTCCCAGAGGGTCCCCCTCCTGGTTCTCTGTTTAGGGCTCCCCTTCTTTCTACCCAGTCTGTCACGTCTCCTGTGTCTTCTTTCTCTTTTCCCTCTGGTCCTCCTTCCCGTCCTTCTCCGTCTCTTGGCTCTCCACGCCGCTTGACTGTGCGGGCTGACGTCCATCGCTCTCCTGGTGGTTGTGTTGTTCGCTCTCGCTCTTCTCCTATCGAGACGCTGGAGTCTGTTGCCCAGTACATTGCTGCTGGGACGCCTGTATCTTTGAGTCAGAAGTGGAAACCTGGCTCCTCTCCTTCCTCCTCCCCGGTCGGTAAGAAGGCTTCGCTTCCTTCTTCACCCCCTATCTCTGATTCTATCGTTCCTTTCCCTCCCGCTTCGGTGGTGGAGCCCCTTGTTCCTACTGTGGGGGTTTCTTGAGCCCCCGGTTCCATCTCGGTTACTGCTCTTGCTGAGGTGCGCTCCCCTTTTTCTGCCCCCTCCTCCCCTTCCTTCTCCTCCTCCAGACCCTGCTCGTCCACCTCTGGTCTGTCCTCCTGCTTCTTTCCCTCCTTTACTCAGTTTACCCATGCCCCCTAACCCTGACTTCGCTGACCCTAATCCTGACCCTGTGCTTTTTTAACATGCTGTGTTTCTTCACCTTTGTTTCTTCTTTGCTCTGTTGCTCTCCTCTCTCTCTTTGCCGATGTCTATTCTTCAATGGAACATCCGTGGATATTACGCCAATTTCCTTGACCTCCAACTTCTCATTTCACAGTTTTCGCTCCTCTGTGTCTGTCTCCAGGAGCCGATGCTTGGTGCTCGTCGTGGTCGCTTCCGTGGCTATTCTTTTCTCTCTCCCCCTAAGCAACAGCTGGGGTACATAATTCTTCTCTTCTCTTGATTCGCTCCGATGTTCCCTTTGTCCCCTTACTTTTTTCCTCGCCTCTCCATTGTTCTGCTGCCCGTGTCTTTGTGCGTAGATGGTACACGGTTTGTTCCATTTATCCCCCCCCCCACTGTCCCACTTTCTCTTCCCGATCTTAAACACCACCTAAACTCCTTGCCGGAGCCTGTGCTCCTGCTGGGTGATTTCAATTGTCGTCATGCCTTTTGGGGTGATGTGCTGACAAACACCCGGGGTCGCCTCCTTGAGCCTTTCATCCTCTCTTCTTCCCTGTCCCTTCTTAATTCTGGCAAGCCCATTCATTTGAACTCTTGGACTCGCTCTCTTTCTTGTTTCGATCTTTCTCTGTGCTCATCATCCCTTTTCTTAGATTTTGGGGGGCGGGTCCTTGATGACCTCCATGGCAGTGATCATTTTCCTATCCTTGTTACTTTTTTTATCTTTTCACCCTCCTGTCTCCTTCCCTAGGTGGTGGCTTGCCGAGGCTGACTGGCGCCTCTTTACTCTCCGTGCTACTATTTCTGACCTCTCCATTCTTCCTCTCCCTCGCGCCCTCCTTCTTTTTCATGACACTGTCTTTGACGCTGCCCTCCACTCTATTCCCCGCTCTTCCTCTTGGGGAACGCGGAAGTGCGTTCCCTGGTGGAATGTGGACTGTGCTCGGGCTGTCCGCTGTAAGCGTGCAGTCTGGAAGAGAGATCGCTGCCGGCAGACGGTTGAGTCTTTTCTTTTGTTTCGGAAGGCGAGTGCGGTGGCCCGTACGACCATCCGTGCAGCTAAACGTGCTTGCTGGAAGTCTTATGTCTCTACCGTTATGTCCGAAACTCCTCTTCCACTGGTCTGGAAGCGTATCCGCAAGATTGTGGGTAAGTTCGTTCCCGATGTCTCACCGGTTCTTCACCTCCATGGTGCTCTTGTGGCGGACCCGTTGCAGGTCGCGACCGAACTGGGTTCCCATTTTTCATCTGTTAGTTCTGGTTCTCATCTTCCCCAATTCTTCCTTCTTCGTAAGCCAATTCTTGAATCTCGTCCTTTAAATTTCTGTACTTATCTTCGCCTTCCCTATAATGATCCCTTCTCTCCCTCTGAGCTTCAGTCTGCCCTGGCCCTTTGCGGTTCTACGACAGCGGGCTTCGATTGCATTCATTATGAAATGCTTCACCATCTCCCTCCGTGCACGTCTCAGTATTTACCGAGTCTGTACAGTCGGGTCTGGGAGTCGTCGTTAGTCCCTGAAGACTGGCTCGATGCTGTTGTCCTCCCTGTTTGGAAACCAGGGTCTCTCGGGTCATCCCCCAAGGACTTCCGCCCTATTGCCCTCACGAGTTGTGTCTGCAAGCTCTTTGAACGTTTGGTTAACGTTCGTTTGATGTGGTTCTTAGAACATTATCACCACCTCTCCCCTTCTCAATTTGGTTTTCGCAAGTGCCGCAGCACAACGGATGTCCTGGTGAACTTGGAGGTCTATATTCGTACTGTTTTTGCTGCGAAGACCTCCGTTGTTGCCGTCCTATTTGACCTGGAAAAGGCTTACGACACTACCTGGCGGTATCATATTCTGTCTCAACTTCATTCTTTTCGCCTTCGTGGGAATCTCCCTCTCTTCCTTCAGAGCTTCCTCTCTCGTCGTTCCTTTCGTGTGCGGTTTGGTACTACTCTCTCTGCCCCTTTTCGGCTGTATGAGGTGTACCCCCAGGGTAGTGTTCTGAGCTCTACTCTTTTTCTAGTTGCCCTCAACGGTCTTGTTTCCTCTCTTCCTTCTGGCGTCATCCCCGCTCTCTATGTTGATGATCTTACCCGTTGCTGTCGGGTGATGATTCGCCTCTCCTTCAACGGCGGCTTCAACTTGCGATTGATGCCGTGTCGTCTTGGGCCACCGATCATGGCTTCAAGTTCTCTGCGTCTAAGACTTGTGCTATGACTTTTACTCGGAAGCTTGTAGTTCTTCGTCCCCCTTTGTCGCTTTATGGTCATCCCATTGTGTACAGGGATTCCGCTAAGCTTTTGGGGTTAGTCTTTGACACTCGTTTGTCTTGGTCATCCCATATCTCTTACCTCCGAGTTGAATGCTCTAAGGCCCTTAACATCCTTAAGGTTTTGTCCCATACTTCTTGGGGAGCGGATAGGCGCACGCTCCTCTATTTGCACTCCTCTCTCGTCCTGTCTTAACTCGATTATGGTTGCCCTGCATACTCTTCTGCTTCTCCTTCTACTCTTCGCCGTCTTGATGCTTTGCACCATACTGAGTTGCGTCTCAGCTCTGGTGCCTTTCGTTCGACTCCTGCCCTCAGTTTG